TGAAAGTAAATAAATCATGAAATTATTCAAAATATCAATAAAAATAACACTTAAAATTGCTAAAAAAATTTTTTTAAGGAAATTTTTTCTGTCAAAAATTCCAAAAAAAAAAGTTGAATTTTGAATTGTAAAAAAAAGACGAAATTAATTTTTAATTAATCAATTTATCCCTTACTGCTGTCCATTAACTATTCAATTCATTCGGTTATAGTAAAAGGAGTGGTTAATAATAAATTAATAAATCTTTTCAAGATAAATTTTTTATTTTTATTTTTATGAATGAGAAAATTTGCAAATATGATTTAGGTGTAAATTACAGTAATTATCTTTACAAAATTAATCAGTAAAAATATGATAAAATATGGGTAATGAAAAGAGAAAATTGTCATCCTGTAATGATTAATAGTCATGATAAATGTTGAAAATTGTCTGATAGCTATTAGTAAGTGGTGAAACTGAAGATAAATGTAGCAGTAACATGGGGAAGGATAAGATCGAGTTTAAGGGTTCAAAGGTGGATCACATTCCATCCCCATGAGATTTGCCATTCGTTCATTCATTCTTTCATTCATTCAATCATTCATTCATTCATTCATTCATTCACTTCCATCAATAATAAATGTCCCATAGTTAGTGATAGTAAAATTATCGAGGTAACAGTTAATGCTACAGCTAGAAATAAATCCATCCTTTAGTTTATCTCTTCAAGACAAAAAAAAATCCCCGAGTTTTCTGTATGATTGCTTATGAGGGTATTGCAATATCCTACATATCCTTTTGTAAATTTTACGATCGTCCTTTATGATTCGGATCAAAAATCCGGATTTTTCACATCTGTCCGTTTGTATAACGTTCTTTTCCCGAATAAGAAAAATCTCCTTGCATGAATACTAACTACTTTTTATTGTTTTACAATGATTGTTACTTGCATTTTTCCTTCACTAATCATTCTCTTTTTTTTTTTTTTTTTGTCTTGAGGTTGATGGGATGATTTGTATCCCGAAATGTCAAATAGATCTTTATGAAGACAAATGTACAATCTGACCTCAACTGTTTTGTCTGTTGTGATAGGTCAGAGGAAAGATTCATTTGCATATTAATGTTAGTTGAAGGCTTGCATATTAGGGTACACAAATGATAATGATGGAAATGAGGAAGTTAATTAGATTAGCAAAAATTAACTATTATTATGAAAACAGAAGTAATCGTATAACTTTGGTTGAATTTATCTTGGAATTTCACTAACCCTTAAACATAAATAAGATTCTAGTGAAACAAATACTCTGTATTTAGCTTCATCTGATGAAATTGAAATGTCTGAAACATCAATGAATAATTTCTTTTTGATATAAAACATTTGAAAAAAAATGAATAAGATAATACAAGGAATGATTTGAAAAAATGCTAAAATAAACATCATCTTCCTTCTCTTTCTTTTTTTTGCAAAATTTTCTTTGTCTGTTCAACAGGACATCTGTCACCATTACAAAGAATGAATAAACATCTGATAATCCCTATCTTTATTCAATTTACTGTTAAAATAAAAATGCATTTTTATAAACATTTGAATAAATATTGCTAAAAAAAAAAAAAGACAGAAAAGGATGTGATTAGTCGCTTCTTGCACCTTTCATTTTCTCCACTAACCAGCTTTCTTTTTTTTTGAAAATAGAAAAAAAAAGATTTTAATGACTGTCAACAACAGGTTGATTAATAAAATTATATTTCTCAGGAAGTAAAAAATGTATTCCACTTGTTTGAAATAATTAAAATCTCAAGAAATGTAATGATTTTGAAATCAAGATCCTTAAGATTTTTTCTTTTTTTTTTGCAAACTTCTTTCATTTGCGTGCCTATTCATAGCAAAAAAAAAAAAAAAAAGTTATGGAAAAAGTGGTTGGAAGACGATTGACGTGACAGGTCAATCGCAAGTTGCGTGAAAGGTCAATAATTTTGAGGAGGGCAAAAGAACTATTATGGATGGGAGACCAATAGAGTTGTCAAGGACGCAAATCAAAATGTGTATTTATCAAATAGTGGATCTTGAAGATAGATCTCCCGCAAATACACCACTCAGATATAATCTTAAAATCACTTCAAATTATAGACAGGTACAAAATTTATTTTTCAAAGATGGCATTTTATGGAATTTCTGTAAAAAAAAATTGTGTTATTAGAAGAAATTCAAAAAAAAAATTTCAACAAAGCAAAAAAAAATTATGAAATTCAAATAGAGAAATATTGAATAAAAAGCCATAAAAGTTGAGTGTATTAATAACTAGACAGATGCACTTTGTACATGTGCACATTTGCGCCTAAAAGAGGTAACATGTGCACATTTGCGCCTAAAAGAGGTACTTCAACAAAAGCGTTACTTGCATAGTTTAACAAAATAATGTCTAAATAATAAAATAGTGTAGTGATAAGTGATAATAAACTTGGTGATCTGAAATGGCTAATCATTTAGATGCATCTTGTCTATCAAATGTATTGATATGCTTGCAATAAGCAATAATATGAATGAATTCTTAAGAAATGAAAGTTAAGCCTTGTTTAATCGTCAATCATTGTGATAAATGTCAAATAATCTTAATGGAAATTCAT